AACCCAAATAAAGTCGCTTTAGTTTACTTCTCGACTTCGGTTGTCAAGAAAAACACAACAAATGTTTCCTGTGATCACTAGTTGAAACTTTAACTATCATTTGAATAAAGTCGCTTAAGTTTACTTCTCGACTTCGGTTGTCAAGAAAAACACAACAAATGATTCCTGTGATCACTCATGGAAATGACCCTACCCCCCGAAAAAAGGGACGCTGTGTCAAAATGAACAATAGACATGGATAGAGCACCTCTATATTAGTAAGAAGCCAAAGTTTCAGCTTATGAAATGTAACACAGGAGAAATGGTATTAAATACAAAACCGAATATTTTATAAGGATTTGTATGGGAAAATGTGCTGTAGGGCAAACTATGCCATCCAGCACATTTCCCCTTACAAATCCTTATGAAATATTCGATTTTATATTTATTGCCATTTGTACTATAGTCAACATTATAAGCTAAAACTTTGCCTTCGTACTAATGTTGAGGTGCTCTTTCGATTTCTGGTGTTCGTTTTGACACAGCGTCTCTTTCTTCGGGTGTAGGTTGTTGCAAAAGGCCTATTATCTGGTAAAAAAATGTTGCAACTGACAAGAAAACTACTGAGGCTGAAAGGTTATTTGGCGAAACAGAAGTGTAATCTAACATTCAATCATTGTTGTAAGGATCACAAAGTGTTGTCTCGATCGCTTCAAACTAGGCTGCGGGTAAAGAATCAATCAGGATATCGAGGGGCTAAGAGGTATGGACTATAATTTCTATCGATAAGAATCCGTGAAAATCATAAAATGATCATGAAGCATACAGCAGAGATTAGTAAGATCACTATAGAGCTTTGGGAACTGTGCAGTGGAAGGCTTTTACGACGTATTAGACGAGAAGCTGACGACTATTATAATATAATATTTGAGAAAACGAAACTACGGCATATTAACAAATTAAACAAGCTTATAAAACACCAAATAGCCGTTAAGCCTCCTAMCAATCCAAAGTGGGTTGTTAATATGTCAAGTAGAGATCTAACCGATAGTGATCAGATAAGTCAGTTTTAACCAAAGCATTAAACTTTGCTCCTGCACCACGGAAACTAACTGTTGAGAAACTTAAGTCAGAAGTAAGAACTAAGGTAACTAATGTTTTAATTAGACGACGCAACTTTACCTGATGATAACATGACTAAAGAAGAAAAAAGATCAGTAGAGTCTCTACGTGATGATAAGAGCATCATCGTCTTGAAAGCAGATAAAGAAAATTATACAGTGGTTATGGATTGTATTGATTATGATAATAAGATCGAGGCCATGTTGAATTTTTGTCTAAATTCTACTGAAGTCAGTTTCAAGAGTAAGTAATACAAACAGATACATGGGTTCGCCTATTTCTGTATGTGTGACTGATTTAGTCATGGAGGTAGTTGATTATGAATCGACAGCGTTTTCGACAGTCGGTTGCTACACCACGTGTCTTTAAAAGATGCGTCGACGACACTGTCAGTGCATTGTCAAGAAAGATCAGATCAATGTCTTTCATGATAATTTAAACCAACAAGACCTGAATATCAGCTTTACTATGGAGAGATACTTTGAAGCGGGAATTCCGTTTTTGGATACTCTGAATAGAGTGTCTGAAGACGGTGGAATTAAGATTTCAATCTATCGCAAGAAGACGCACACAGACAAATAATGGTTATTTTTTTCCGTCTCTGTTGGTCCAAGTTCTGTTGATAAAATTAAATCTATGGCCAATGACTTCTATTTTGATCTTAATGATGAAAGCTTTGTCCCCAAACAATACCCTTTGTCTAAACAGTTTACTCTCCATACAATAGAATGTAAAGACTTTGAAGACATAGTACTGTCCATGCCTTTCAGTAAGGTCCCTGTGATTGACAAAATCCCAGTTCGTGTCATCAAAGATTGTCTTGTACCAATTCTACCTACAATCACATCTATTGCTAATGCTTCACTTAGCTCTTCTACATTCCCATCTTGTTGGAAAACAGCTGAAGTAGCACCCATACCGAAAGAAGGCGACCACGAACAAGCAAACAACAACAGACCCATTTCACTCCTACCGGTTTGTCTCAAGTTTGTTAAATGGTCGTCCACAATCAGTTTACGTCGTATTTAACATCAATAGCATTGTTATCAAAGAACCAAGGTGGGAATAAAGCGTGGCATTCGACTGAGACCTCTGTCATCAAAACAACTGATGAACTTTTGAGCGCAATGGATAAAAAGAAATTATCTGCCATTGTACTGTTGGACATGAGCAAAGCCTTTGATAGTATTAGCCACAAGATCCTGCTGACAAAGTTACAAGATGTAGGGGCTTCTCATTCACTCATCCAGTGGTTTGGTAGTTACCTTAGTGAAAGACATCAAGTCGTTAGGATCAATTCAGCAGTCTCTGAGCCTCTCCCTTTGGTCAGCGGTGTTCCCCACGGAACCATTTTGGGCCCTCTTCTTTTTATTATTTACACTAACGACCTTCCTTCTGTGTCTAAGAAATGCAACTCACAGTGTGACGTAGATGATAAGAAACTCCTCATATCTTTTCAAGTGCAAGACAAACAGTCCGCCATATTTCTAACCTGAACGAAGACCTCCTTAACGTTAGGAACTGGCGTTTTAACAACTACTTGCTCCTAAATCCAACCAAGACTAAGCTCGTGGTGTTTGGAAGTAGGCAAATGTTGCCTAGATTACAAGAGTTTACTGTATCTCTACTAGAAAAGACCTTATTCCTGTTCAAGAGGCCAAAGACCACGGTGTGACTCCCGATCCTCATTTATCATACGACGAACATATCATTAATACTAGTTCTGCATGCATGTGTCGCCTTGGACAGATTAATCGTGTTAAACATGCATTTGAAAAAAAGACTCTCTTAACTGTTATAAACACTCTAGTTTTCAGTAAATTATATTATTGTTCTAATGTTTATGTTTGGGCAAATTCATCATTGCACAACCTTCAAAAATTGCAGGCCGTCCAAAACTTTGCATGTCGAATTGTATGCGGGGCTAGGAAGTATGATCATATCATGCCTTTCTTAAAACAATTGAAATGGCTTCCAGTCGACTGCCAATTATATTATCGTAGTGCTACCTTGGCGTTTAAATGTATGAGCGGCAGTGCCCCAGAGTATCTTTCGTCGCAATTTGTTAAACGCGCAGAAATAAGCAATCGCACTACTAGAAATTTGCAAAAAAACTGAATATTCCTCTCTTCAAGACGGCCAGTGGCCAAAGAACATTTTATTATAGAACAGTAAATCTCTGGAATTCTATCAAATCGTCCCTTCAACTGTGCAGAAATGTTAATATTTTCAAACAGTCGCTTAAATCTAAGTTATTACGGGAGTTCTTAGATAATTACCTCTCCAGTTTATTAGTTTATTCATCTATATCTTCATACTTTCTACATTATTTATAGATAACTATTATTTTACTGTAAGATATTGTAATATATGTTTTTTCTTAATATTAATAATTATATTGTTATAAATTAGTAATTAGATATTTAGCTGACTTTTTAGATGTAATATATTGTCTTTGAAAAGTCATTATGGGGAAAGATAATAAAGTATGTATGTATGTATGCCATACGACAGTCATCACCTTTTGAGTCACAAAGCAGCGGCAGTCCACATCCTTCCTCATCGTAAAGAAACTCTGCTTAGTGACTAGGGTTCAAAAGAGAACGAGAAAGATCATCTCACAGAGAGTTTAACACAAAACGGCTACCCTATGAAATTTATCAAGAAATACTCAGTCATGCGTAGAAAGAACCCAGAGAACGATGAAACGGAAGATCCCAAAGGCTTTGCGGTGTTACCGTATGTTAAAGTAACTACTGAGAAGATCACTAGAATTCTTTCACGCAATAAAATCCGATGCTGCATGAAACCAGAAAGAACTCTGCGGAATGTCTTATATGTCTCAGGTCCCCCAGGAAAAGCAATTCTGCAAATTATATAAATCTTTTGTAATTTTTCGTGTTTTCGGGTTTGCGCGCGCGATTCTATTACTCGCTCGCGCAATTGTCCTAAGTTTGTTCGCGTAGTTTTTTAAATATTGTAACGTATTTGAGTTCCTCCGAGGAACTCTGTCCGTCTCGGTCGAAAGGGAAATATATATTGAATTACTTAAAGGTTGATGAGTCAACTTTATTTTCATAAGTATATAGTTTCTAGTTCAAATCAAAGTCTTAGACGGAAAGAAAATCCTAAAAAATCAACCTTATTGAACTTTCTGTATAAATTGATAGTAATGTATAAATGGTATATTAGATGCGAACATAAAAAGTACCTTTTTCCGTTCCAGAGGGGGGGTGGGGGGGGAGGGGACTTATGCAATATGGCTTCCATTAACTAAGTAACAGCTAAATTATAAGCAATCAAAAACATCAAAAATTGCAAAGAACTGTATGTTTATGTAAGAGTTAATTACCCAGAACGGAGGCTATAAGCCATATACATCCCGCATAGCCATATATTGACCTCGCATTTATAATGAGGGTTATAACAAAAATAAAGCCTTGTGAACAACAAAGAAAACCGTGTCAATTGAGAAATAATAGGGGCAAGCGTCCCCAGTAATTATACACATTTCTTTGTAATTTTTCAAAATGTTTTGGAGGCTGCTACACAAAAGGTATAAATCCCAAAATATTGAGTTTCCAGAAATCTACAGATTTCTTTATACTTTTTCTTGTTATGGCGTTTATTTTTTTACTAGGTTAAAGTAATTTTTTTCAATAAGAGCAATAATGGCAAAAAGCGCCAAAAACTAGACCTTCGTATGAGTTTCGATCCTAGTTTTCGTTTTCGGTTAACACTCAAAACCTTTTTAAACAGTTAGAAAATGATGTACTATGATAAAATGCCTGTTTGAAGCTGTATTTTCAATCGTAAAAAGATTTTGTGTTGCATTTGTGTTAGAATGTAATTTTGTCAGTTTTTTTTTATAGAAAATATATGGAAAATAAACAAATGAAGGCCTAAACATCATTTTCGATTCAAATTTTTGTTTTGGGTTAACACTTTATTCAATTTCATCGGTCATCTCCACTTCCAAACAAGTTAAACTTTCTGAATAACAAGATTTTAGCCTTGTACAACAGCCTTTCTTCAAGAAAATAGTTTTTGGCCGCTCGAATACGAAAATAATTCTCTCTTAATTCGTTTCGAGTCCTCAACTCGTTTCTAAAGTGGCCAATTTACGTGTAATCTCTTTTTTGGAGTCCTTCATTTGCTGGAAATGTCTTTCCTTCGATCGGAAAAGTACGATAAACTCGTGTTTCGTAGTCCTGGCTGTATGAATAGTCAGTCCATGTATTTGCTTCCTTTCAAATTTCTACATAGGACAGCATGCGCATAGGGGATTTTGTAGAAAAAGAAAAATGCTATTGTATCTTATTTTCCATTGATTTTTCCATTCGGTAAAAAAAAATTAGCACACTTTCTTGGCCTCCACTACAAAAAATGGAGTTTCTTTTTTGGATTTGATTTTCGTCTGGCTTTTATCATTCGATAGAGATTACTTCATGCAAAGCGCGCGCGTACGGGATTTTCGCACGAGTTGGTGCAAATTTCAGATATAAAACCAACGAGTGGGAAAATCCCGTACAAAGCGCTTCCCATGCTGTAATTTATTTATTTTATACATACTGAGATTTTGTTTTTTTAATTATTCAACTTTAATGCGTTCTCTAAAAAAATACAAAACCCCTTTATTTAAAAATTCTCTTCGAAAAGCTAAAAAAAGCTTTTAAAAAAGCTACATGTAAAACTATTGCAAAGTAAATAGCAAAACGTTTAAATTATAAGCTAAATATGAAACTGTTCATTTGAAAATAACGAAATAAGCAACCAAAATCGGTAGGTCAATGAAGTCTTAACTTAGCTTGTCAAAGCGGAGGGCTGTCTTCGTCTGACGATTCAAACACACGCTTGATGCGTTTGAAGCTACGTATTGACTCTGTTGGCTTGAATGAGTTATCGGTGGAAGTCGGCGACTTGTTTAAAGTGTTTATTGTTATGTTAAACTGTCCTCCGTGAAAAACTGCTCCACTGAATGGGCCTGCTGTAGGAAAACTAGAACTTTTCATGAATGAAGATTCACGGCACTCGGTGCCCACTTCACTTTGTAAACTCGACACTGGCCTTTTTTCTGTTGACGTACTTGTAGTATTTCCACTCAGAATCAAAGACATGTTTTTCTGTTGTTCGTTTGAAATAGTACTGTAATTGTTGACGCTTTGAACGTTTCTGTGACCAGATAACTGCATTATATGAGCTAGCGAGATGTTGTTGTCATTCAGTTTTTGCATCATAGTTTTTCGTGGTGAATGGTGAATCACTATCCTTCATTGAGCTAGGTCTTTTTTCAGAATATAACTTGTAAACAAACACTGGATCTCTGTCCGGCGAAGCGTTTGCAAAACTGAAAGCTTTAGGTTTTACTGTTCTGACATTTCTCGTATCGGCTCCGGTCCTTGTTTTTGTTTGTCGCTCTGAATATTCTAAATATTCACCTCCATTCACATCTGTTAGCAGCTGAATGTCTCCCCACTTCATACGACGGTGCTCGTCACATCCCCTCAATCCAAACTGATTGGTGTTCATAAACTACATTGTGTTTAGCAAAGCCTCAGCATTTGAAATTCCAAGTAATTTTTTATCGTATAAAATGTTTACTTCTTCATCGGTAAGAGCTTCTGCTGCGTTCTGCTTGTTTCCTTTGCAGTCTAACTCTTTTTTGAGTTCTTTACTTCGAGCTTCTAAAGCTTTTCTCACTTGTTCAAACTGGCTGTCTGAAATAATACTGCAAGGATCTGTTGGCTTTCAAGTGCCGATTAAAGCTGCAAATTAGCCCTCTTAAACTAGGAGGCTCGAAATCTTCACCATCTTTTCTTCTAACAGCTACAATAAATTCACTGATATATCCATTAAGCTCTTCTGGCGGGATTTCCTCGACTCTTCTCGTTTCATTTTTGGAGCTGAGAAACTCAGTCAGCAAACTTACATCTCTTCGTGTTTTCAAAAGAGTGTTTCTGTTTTTTTGGTCTTCGATAAACTTGTCTATAGGTTTGTCTAGAGACACAAATCTTCTTGGTTGTTCAGTCATCCTCACAAATATCTCCGAGCTCTTGATTAGATAAGTTTAATTTGAACTACGAACAACTTGAATATACTGAAAATATTTAAAAGCTGCTCGACAAAGCTACCCGCGATGACCGCGAAAACACGATTCGCCTCGACAGTGGTTTGCGATTAGACGAAACGCTTTTTTCGCGCGTGATAAATCGTTTCGCCTCTCTGATTGGCTAAAAAAAGTCGCGCACTTGTTTTTCACAGACGGAAATTTGATAAGAAAATCTCAGTATGTATAAAATAAATATATTTCCTTTATGGCAATAGATATGTGGAATAGTATTCCCATAGACCTCAAAACATGTAAGAATACTATTTCGTTTCAAAAGCAACTTAAAA